CCTAGTCGGTGTCCTCGTCCAGCTTCGCTTTGCCCTTGGGGCGGTCGAAAATCGCTCCGACCGCCTCCTCGTCTGATAGGAAGGCTCTGATGAAAGAATCTAACCACGATGTCGAGGAGTTCCTTGGTGGTCCAAGGGCCCTTGCGTTCTAGCTTGTGGACCAGGGACTCGCAGGTGGTCCCAGATAGAAAGGCTCCGATGACATTGGTGTCGGCGACGTCGGGCAACTCGCTGCATTGCCTGAAGAAGCGTCGAATGTACTCACGGAGAGTTTCCCCAGACTTCTATCTGTAATTCTTTAGATCCCAGGGGTTCCTCGGGCCGCGTAGGTGCCCTAGAAATTTTCCACAAAGATCTCTTTTAGGTCCACCCAGCTTTGAATCCGGTTGGGCGGAAGGTGCTCTAGCCATGTTTGTGCCGAATCAGCCAGGAACAAGGGGAGGTTGCGGATAATGAAGTAATCACTATCCGTACCGCTGGCTTGACATGCAAGCCGGTAATCCTCGAGCCACAAGCCAGGGTTCGTTTCCTCAGAGTATTTTGGGATGTTGGTCGGTGGTCGATACCGCGATGGGAAATCCGCGTTGAGGATGTGCCGGCCAAAAGCCTAGGACCCCAATAGATTGGGGCTTGGGCTCTGGTCCTCGCCGCTGTCATAGCATCCACCACGACGAGGGTGGTAGCCATGGCTGGCCCCCTCTCTCTTGTTCCCCCGTCCACGCCTATGAGCGTCCAGGGTGTTACGTGCATAACGGTTGGGGCCGAGACGCTCATGCACCGAGAACATGGCAAGCCCCCCGCTGTCGCGTGGTGCCTGGTGGATGGATACGTCCTAGCCATGTCGTCCCGAGGACGCGCGCTGACTGGCATCGAGCTCGCGTCACCGAGACAGCGAGCTTTTCCGCCTGCTGCACTGTCGCGCGCTCGAGCAGCAAGCGAATCTCGTGATGGGCCCAACGGTCTTCGGGTGTCACAGGCTCTGGGAGCCCTTAGAGCAAGGCCGCCGCGGCAGCTATGTTCTGGCTTGCCCGAACGAAGTGGGAGAGGCCTCTGTCGTCCTCGATGATCCTTCGGTTTACGTCACAGGCGATGGCGCGTGCACGACCACCGTCTCCGTGGCGTTCGATCTCACGCTCGAGCTCCACACGCTCCTGCTCCGGCTGGAGTCATGCATCCTCGATCTCCTTGTGCCGTGCCTCAGCTGTTCTACCCGCAGGCCAGGCAGGCCGATGTATCTCCCTCGACCTCGTCGTTAGGGTCATTCGTAGGAATAGCCCCTCCCTCATGGATGCTTTCGACGCGCATCCCTCGGGGTGCCTGCCATGAAGCATTCTCGCAAGGGGTGATGGCGTCCCCTGCTGGAGTCAGAGTCGGAGATCGTCTCTGAATCTCCCATGAGAAGGTTGTGGAAAGATTCTACGATGTAGTCCGTCATACCCACAAACTCGTCATCCATGGGGGATGGGTGCATGCGCTATGCCACAAGGTGACCAATGTCCTAGCGAGTGTTACGCAGACCGAACCGGAACGTTGTTGGGGCACTCCGGGTGAGGTATTCCGGGGAGAGCGGTTCTCCTCCGGCAAGCTACGTCATGACATTGACGAACGAGAAGGTGAGGCAACGCAGGTCCTCCCGGGACGGTCGGGGTCTTAGGAAGGCGTCGAGCTGGCGCTCTAGCCTCCCGTAATCGAAGCCGAGGAGCTGGTCGCTACCAGGGGCACGGGCCTCCAGGGCATGCAGCTGTAGCTCCTTGAGGGCCTCGACGGTTGCATCAAGGCCGGTGGAGCGAAGAAGTTGGACGGGGGTAGGAGCCCGCACCAGCTCTCCCTCCGCGGTGACGAAGAAATCTAGGCTCCCGAAGCGCACGTGCGTGCCCGGGACCCAGATGACGCCGTGGTTAACGATCCATGGCCTATTGTGGATGACGAGATGCGCAAAAGGCCTCTACCTGGCGCGCCAACTGTCGGTGTTTCGAACTGCTAACTAGTAAATTTGTGTTTACGCGTCTACCACGGATGGTGTGCTCGGAGGACACAAAGGTTTATACTGGTTCGGACGGAATGTCCCTACGTCTAGTTTGAGGTTGCTCGTATTACCGGCACGTCCGACACTGTTGGTGATGTGAGTCCTCAGGTATGGCCCGTCATGGCCGCGGGTCTCGTCAAGACACGCCTACTCCCCTTCTGGTGTCAGAAGTTTGACCCTGGGTTCGTACTCTTAGACCTGTAATGGTTGGAGACGGTACGGACCCTCGTCGGACGAGGCGGAATCCCCCTTCGAGGGGTCTGGCGAGGTGAAGTCCGCGCCCGAGGGGTCGGGCAAGACGGAGCCCGCACCCTCGGGAGACGGAGCCCGCGCCCTTGGGGTCGGGCGACACGAAGCCCGCACCCTCGGGGTCGGGTGTGATGGAGCCCGCGCCCTTGCGGTCGGGCGACACAGAGCCCACACCCTCGGGGTCGGGCGACACGGAGCCCACACCCTCGGGGTCGAGCGTGATGGAGCCCGTGCCTTCGGGGTCAGGCGAGACCAAAATACGTTCTTGACCATCCGGGCGAGTTAGCGCTCGCGACCATCAGGTTCCTTCTTCTAGGTATCCCTAATACTGATACCCAACAAGCAGTATAAGCAAGAGATTGTATGCCTGGTTAAAACCTCTCCCTTGTTATAGGAGCGAAAAAATTACAAGAAAAAGAAATCCATTTTCATGGAAGCAAGGAAAAATTATTGCATTACAACTTTCATTTTTCTAGATACACAAGTTTTATTATGTATCAGAGATATTGTATAAGATATGTATTAAAAAACCAAAATGACCTATAATTTGGTACAGGGGTGGTAGTACATAACACATTATTGGGATTTTGAAGCTAACGTTTCAAGCTTGAGGCTGATTTAACGCTTGTTCTTTGCCAGAAAAATCATGAACGTCCATCGGGGAGACGCACAAGGGGTGCTCTAGGATCAGCAAGATTACATAGAACACCAAATAATCAAGATAGACGTGCTAGAAAAAAAGGGTTGAAAAGCTTGAGGCAGAGGATAAAAAAGTAAAGATAGATGTTTTTTGACCATAGGATGGATGGATCCTCTTATATAAATACAGAGGTTTTTTTTTATCCTGGTAGAAAATGTATTCCATATGTAATTTGCAAGTTTCCTATGAGATCTCATCGATTTCCAAAGAAAACACGAGTTGGAGCTTCGGACTGCCAGAACTTTAGGCTGTTTTTTCCATGCCACCGCGGAGATTCCCGGCCTAGTTTTTCTAGAAATTTTGTATTTTTTTGCCCAATTTCATCCAAATTTCATCATTTTTGTTATTTTCTTGTCTGCATCGGTTTATCCATCTTTAACCCTCCGAGCATATCAACTATGGGTTGCTTCGGTCAATTCGCTCAATGGTGGTTACGTGGTGGGTCTTTTAATCCATGTGATACACATCCTTAGTCATTGATCTCCAACCGACGTAGAAACATATTTGACGGTTGGATGCAATGACGGTCAACAATCTCTTCCATACTTAGCTCTTTTTGCTCGTAAATGTAATTATAAAACCTAACTTCAAAAAAATATGATGCTAGTATAAAGGTTATTCCATGGCATTTCTTATACTGTGGATTTGAAGTGGTACCATATCATCTTGAATGGTTGCAAAGCGGAACGGTGTTGACATAAAGTCATCACTATCTTTCCAACAAGTATACTTGGATTTTTTTTTTTTACATTTTGCAATAAAAACGTAACTCATATTTTTCTCCTCAAATGGTACTCTTAGGTCGCGCAAAGGTGTTTGAAATCTCATCAAGGCACCATTGTTTTGCCTCAGATCCTACTTAGATTTTGATCCTTTAGCCCACACTCTGCATTGTAACGGTCCCTCCTCTTGAGTACATTTGGGACTCCTGGCACAGGCCCAGTGCCAGTCCTCTTCGCCCACCTCCGGCGGTGGTGGCCACGCAACTCTGGGCGGCGGAGGTTGCTCTCCCTGCCACAGCGGTGACGATCAGACCAGGGCCAACCTCGGAGACTGCATTTTTTTTCAAAGGGAATATATTAATATCTTAACTTCTATATCGACCAATACATATAGTTATTCCTTATTATAAATACAAGCACTGGGGTCCATGCAATCTCAAAAACGAAGTTTTGAGTCAAAGTGAATAAAAGAAAAGTTTCCAAAATCAACATCTATAAAGTAATTCTATTGCTAAATCTCCAACCGTGTCTTGCAAACACCTCCATCGCGGTTGTCTCAATATTCCTACATCCCATCTTCATCATTTGACGATCCTCCTCTTTCTGTGATAGGGACCAGAACCTGATCCAGTAGATCCCCTAAAATTAATCTGCAAATAAGATGATGTTAAGATCTTATCAAAAACTATATCATTCTAGGTTAACCATATTGTCCAACAAATTATGCTTGCACCCACAAAAATATTAGATTTTAGTTTTTATTTATCCCCTCTAACCAGCCTATAAACATAAACAATTCGCCACATAAATTTAGTAAAATAACACTCAAAGAGTAGATATTGTATGGACTCGTCAGAGGATAAAATACAACACTTCCTATCACCTCGGAGACAGCACACAAAGCAGTAGAAAGGGGCACAATCGTCTTTTAGGTAAGGAAAAAAAAAAGACATCAAACCGAATAGTCAGAAAACGCTAAAGGCAGTGGCACATACCACATAGGAGATAGGAGTTAGGACACGGAAATTTTTACTCGGTGGGGCGTTAGGCGCCAGAGTCTTTTTAGCGGCAGAAATACAATTTCAAACTTTTTTAGTGGCGCACAGCTAAAGGTCTCTAAAACCAGCATTTGACAAGTGTCGGAACCAATCACAACCATCCTTTGCAAAGGATCAGAATTCGCTAGGTCAGATTTCAAAATAACCAGGACAGTAATGGCAGTCACTCTTCCTCGCCAAATTTTACATATATAAGATCAGCTGCTAGGTTTACATAGGTACCATTGAAGTTAGATACTTGGGCATCACTTGCCATTCTTTCGATAGGGTGGTTTACCCCTCTGGCTGTTCTTCCCTCTTAGCATTGCCATTGTCGGGCCAAGGGCGCTGCTCCTGAGAGCTCTGTAAGACCAAGCTGACGTACTAGCATTTTGTTTCCATGCTCCCCAGCCATTTTCCTGAACATCGACCTTATCACTGGGCTCATCATTCTTTTCCCAAACCGTGCTTTCTGATTTTCCTGCATAACGTATCCGAATTATTGTATAACAAAAATGCTTGGTATAAAACCAAAATACTTCAAGGGACAATGCTTGGTATGAACTATTGTACCTAGTGTGCGTTCTTCATCTTTAGTGTTGTTTGCCACCAAGGGTGGTTTCTGGTTCTCAATATTGCCTTCATTTTTGTGTAAGGTAACTGGCCTTCCAGCCAGTGCTGATCCAACTTCATTACATGTTTCTGCAGAGGGAGTACTGGCAGCCCCTAGCAATGGTTCAATACCCTTCAGTAGCCTTACATCAAGAAGTGAAGAGTACTCGATCTGCAGAAGATATTAAGCATGACGCATTCCAGGTTATACTAGCTGGTAACAAGGCTAGGAAGTAGAGAAATATTGATTACCTCCAAGGAGCCATCTTCCTTGTATGGTGACAAGTCTGCAAGCATATCTGACTCGTCCTTGTTTTCTTTTTCCTCGGTGGTGATTGGATACTCTTGAACGGGTAAGAGAATGATACGCGATGATATGGGATCATATATAAGAACTTTTCCGACCTGAAATAGCAGGGTGAGACATGACTTAGTTTTGCCAAAATTCAACCCTGCCAATTAGTCCAATATGCGCCATGCCTTTTTATTACAAGTTTCCCCAAGCCCCAAGCATGCAAAAGTTGCTCAGTCCAGTTTGCATTAATATCACTTCTGTTTCAAACAACCCTGAGAAAAAAAAAGTACTTAGACAATGCAAATGAAATTATATCATACACGATACGCAGACAGCTCCGGACACAACATGGAAGACAGCTCAACCAATCGATAGGCAATCAGATCTCCCTCCTGCAAGGTCCAAAAGACAGGTAAACTCTTGAATGAGGGAAAAAATGAAAGTGAACTGTGATGTTGCCCCATTATTCAGTTTCTTAAGGATATACTACCTCTGTCCCAAAAAAGAATGTAAAAAATATATAAAAAGCTTTAGTAACCTTGTGCCTTAATCTAGATTCTACCAACGACACTTCTCTGAATTCAAGCATGAGAACAGATAATCATTTTGGAACCTCTAGTCCTTCCTTCCAATAGAGAAAGAAAACACTCATTGTAGCACTTAATGTACTGACTGGTTGAAAGTAACGATATCTCACAATTACTTCTATGATAGAAAAGTTAACGCCCAATATTATGTATTGGAAAGCAAGTTTGCCATTATCGTGACCCTATGCCCTGATATACCACAAAACTTCTACAACTTCAAGCACAAGAACAGACAGCCAATTAGAGGCTTAATCCCCAAACTGTTAGCTATCTATTTTCAGCCATTATTAATATTCACTTTAGTACAAAACATATGTTGATTCAGGGTAAGGTACAAATTATCAACCAATTGCATGTATGACAGATAAGTTAATTCTCAACTGATCAACGAATGGTAGACATGTTCAATTGTTTCATAGCAAATGTTAGAATGAACACAGAATTGTATCTTCTACCCTTGTAGCAAGATTATCCCTTATTCCCTCACATATAAATATAAGAAAAGCCTATCTATAACCATGTTTTTGCAAGACAGCATCCTCTTTCTGGGTTTATATATTGGCAAAATGTTAGAATGGACACAGAATTGTATCTTCTGCCCTTGTAGCAAGATTATCCCTTATTCCCTCATCATATATAAATACAAAAAAAAGTCTATCTGTAGACTATATTCATGTTTTTGCAAGATAGCATCCTCTTTCTGAGTTTATATATTGATATATTATCCTATTTAATTCCAGCACATGTGATGTAATCAGTAGCCTCCCATCCCAATTAAAACAAATGAAATACCTTTGGAAGTCGCGTTAGGGGGTACAAGCTCTCAAAATCGAAAGGTTCACCACTAGACTTTTCTTCATTAGCAACAGTTTTCGCACTGGACAACTCAATATTACTGCCTTCATTGTTCCTTCGATTACTGACAGCACAGAAGCCATTTTCAGTAATCTTAATGTCCCTGACATGATTGTTAACTTCTGTGCTGCTTCCAGCTATTCCTGCATGATAGACGATATCAGCATTTTTCTTGTTTGAGCTATCAATTCCCCACTTCTGGCCCTTCTTTTTGCTCATTGTTCCACTCCATTGGAATGTGCCCTGAAACCACAAAAAACCATCAATGGGACAGCAGGTCCAACCAATTGCTGACCATTTTTCCATGTTTTCAGGTTAGGGAAGAAACTGCAATATTTCCTATTATCTTGATCCCAACCAATCGTTAAAAACTCAACGATGCTATTGATCCCCTAAATTATCTTCTGAAACAAAATGATGGTATCATTAATTGTGATAATATCATTATAAGCTAGAGAAAATATCAGGTGTACAAGATCATACTGGCGAACATACACAGAAACTTAACCTTGTACATTAGATCGAACTTGAGTGTGGCCAAGTCTGATTTTGGTCATCTAACTATAAAACCAAACATCTTTGGCCATAGAACTATTAAAACCAGACAACTTTGGCCCTTGATTGGTTTCAAAGGCGGTATTGCTTATATATGTATTTTTCTCAAAAAATACTCCCTCCGTTCCACATTGAAAGTCATTTAGACTTTTCTAGGTACATACCTTTAGATACGCATCTAGATATACATTATGTCTAGAAACATAGTAAAAACTACTCCCTCCGTCCTAATATATAAGGCGTAACCACTTTTTATTCAAGTCCCATAATATAAGGCGTGCTCTCTCTAGACACATGTACATCGATGCAGTAATAATAGTGTTGAGAGAGATAATTTAATACATTCCTTGGTCTTTGAACTAGTGGTGGTTACGCCTTATATTCTGGGACGGAGGGAGTATATATCTAGAAAAGCTAGAACGACTTACAATTTAGAACGGAGTATATGGTTAAACCTCTAAAATTCAACTAACTCATTTTAAATGAAAAACACGAAACCATATTTTTAGAAATATGGTTGATCTAGACTAACATAGCACAAAACGATAATTTAAATAGATAACAGTCATGACTACAAGCAACAAAACACTAGCAACAGGAACAAGACCCCAACTTACACCAATAGATGGAATGTATTTTTAGAAAAAAAAATTGGTATGTATATTTATATTTAAAATGAATTTGTTATGAATTTTTAGAGATTTAATCATATTATTCTTTTTTTAGAAAAATACATATGTAGGCAAACCCAACTTTGAAACCAATCGAGGGGCCAAAATTGTCATGTTCCACTGCCAAAGATATTTGGCTTTGGAGTTTGATGGCCAAAACACAACTCGGGCGATTGTCCGATGGCCAAAAATAGACTTCTTCCTAAAACTAATAAGTCCTAAGAGCAACTCTCAGCAATGTCCTTATATGGGCCCTCATCCTAAGGATACATGAGATTGAAGGTAGGCAAGCACATGAGATGATCTTGTCGAGCATTTGTGGACTGTATGGATTATTTTTGTTTTGATGGTTGTTTACATTTATGAACTTTGTTTGTAATACTATGGTTGTGATGTTCTGAATTTTGCAGCCTAGAATAGAAAGAATTTGTCATCTCAATAGAATAGAAAGCAGGAAGTTTTCTATGAGACTATATTTGCCTTGAGATGACAATTTGTTTGAGATTTTGTAAATTATGAATTGTCATTAAATGAAATCGTGAATTTAAATATGTACCATTTGTATGAACTACCAATATTATAGTTTGAATTGATGTTGTGTTAAAATAATAGAATACATAGAGTATGTGTGAAAATGAAGAGAAAAAGTAGGGGCCCTTGCTAGATTTGAGCTTAGAAAACATGGCACCCTCAAAGTAGGGGAGTCCTCAAATCAAAAGTAGGGGCCTTGTTTTAAGGGCTATTGCTGGAATTGCTCTAAGTCAGCTCGAGAGAGATGATGGAACCCCCAAACCCCACTCAGATCAGATTCTACATACAAGTTTTTGGTGCATACATTCACTAATGCACTATTATGTACTTAATATTTCCTCCATAAGAGAAGATGGCAATCTCAACGAAATTAAAAAAAAAAAAGGCCTAAAATTTTTTAGCTATTGTTAGGAAAGGCATGAAACTACGATGAGGAGAACCAGAGAAACTGTGGCGAACCTGTAATTCCTTTGCTGGCGATTTGTCAGGTTCTCCACCTGCAAGGAGAGTATATATGTTAAGTTGCCTTTAACACAACACATGGACATCAAGTAGCAACTGAAGATTTTAACATTGGTCCATCATGCCAGCCCTAACAACAGCTTTGACTTCCAACTTCCATCCAAAACGCTTAGGTTTCATACAGTGCACTACTAAAAAAATCAAACTTCTTATTTCTTAATTTCAGCTGAAACACATGCATTATAATTGAGAACACAGTTAGTTATCAATGGTGATAATTCTTACTGCAAGCAAATCAGCAGCTCACAACACCAGAGTTCTGCAATGTGTAGGAAAATTAGAGGCCTTATGATAGTGTCAAGGGAATTGTTATGAAACTGACTATGATATTGTGTTTACCTGCTATCAGTGGTGCTGTACTTTTCTTTGCCAACAGAAAGAAAATAATGCTGCTTTGTGCCACTTTTAATTGTCAAACTCATTAAACTGCTAAATTTGCCTATTGCCTTCCCTATATGCTCATCTTTTACTCCAGAACATAGTTTTTCTTCTCCCCCTCAAAGTGTACTACTGTTAAATGTTAGGAAAGCATGCCGATCAGACGTGGAATAGTTTTAGCTGGCCTGTTGTCTAAAAGCACGCTTTGTTGGTCAGATATTAGTGGTTTGTTTGCCACACATGTTAAGCCCTTTGCGCTTAAATGTGTGTGCTCGTCGTTTTAATGTCCTTTAAATTTTGTTTCGTACAATTCTTGTAATTCCATTGTTGTGAAGTAATGGAATTCAGGATGAAAAAAAATGTAATGAAGACAGGATGTAGGTCAGCAACATTTTGTATTTCTACCTACTGACAAAAACACAAATAACATGGCACTCCATTAATATCAGTCACAGAGGCGCATATAGAAATATAAGCATGTGCCTGGTTGCATGCATATGGTGCACATACAAATATGAAGAAACATGAGGCAGTTATTCAAAGCATACGCAGGCAAGCATCCAGGACTATCTGATCATCATTTCCCCCTCTAACAAGACCATGAACAGATTTCCCATGTGGTAAACCCAGCCAAGTAATGCATAGACTTGAATTAACATAAAAAAATAAAGAGGGAAAGGTTAGTTCTATCAAGATAGAGAAAGAATAGAAGATTAAGATGCAGCCCACGAGTTGGCAAATTCCTGTACTATTAGATTCTTTATGGGTAGAGCTATACCTGCTGGTTCAAAGCGAATGTGACCAGGCCGAACCACAACTGGGACAATCTCTTCCGATGTATCAGATTCTTCCTCATCTGCTTTGAGGCTTGAAAAATGAACATGTGATCCATTTTGATTGCTTGATGGAACAGGCAAGCCATCTTGATTGCTCGATGATGGAAAACCAGCAGCTATTGGTGAATCTTCATGCACATTCTGCAGTATACATACATGAATATATTGATCAGCACAAGTAAAGGGCAGACCCAGTGCCGGAGGCTCCCACATGAGTGGGGTCTGGGGAAGGGAAAAACCGAGGCAAGCCCTTCCCCCCGCAAAATCTGCGGAGAGGCAACCCACGACCTGGTGACTCAGTGAGACAGCTCTCACCACTGCACCAGGCCTGCCCTTCTGATCAGCACAAGTGCACAACATAATATAGCAGCTTGGTCAACAGAACATTCAGTCAGCTATTGGAATGTTGTTCCAAGTGCAAACGTGCAAACCATGAAAGTCGATGCATCCAACAACCGGAATACAACAACAACAACAACAACAACAACAACAACAAAACCTTTAAGTCCCAAACAAGTTGGGGTAGGCTAGAGTTGAAACCCAGCAGAAGCAATCAAGGTTCAGGCACGTGAATAGCTGTTTTTCAAGCACTCCTATCTAAGGCTAAGTCTTTTGGTATATTCCATCCTTTCAAGTCTCCTTTTATTGTCTCTACCCAAGTCAACTTCGGTCTTCCTCTGCCTCGTTTCACGTTACTATCCTGGTTTAGGATTCCACTACGCACCGGTGCCTCTAGAGGTCTCCGTTGGACATGTCCAAACCATCTCAACCGGTGTTGGACAAGCTTTTCTTCAATTGGTGCTACCTCTAATCTATCACGTATATCATCGTTCCGAACTCGATCCCTTCTTGTATGACCGCAAATCCAACGCAACATACGCATTTAACAACCGGAATACAATAGAATAATAATGTTTTTTTGTCATAAACTGGAGTAATTTTCCCCACTAAGATTTCACATAAACCAAGAATCTAACCCTCAATCCCTGCATGTCCACATGTGCAACTCCTACAACTTTCTCTATCAATCGTCAGACACCCCACCATATTGTCTCCTTCACTAAGGGAGTAAGGTATGTAGGGGGGACACCAGCAAAGAGAAATATTCCATCTAGATGGGGGACGGTCCCCGTACCTCAAAATCTGGAGGACAAGCTCACCCCTCCCGACGCCGTTTGAGTCCGTCTGTGCGGGCATCCTCTAGACATGTGAGCGGGGAGCAGGTGGGCAGCACAGTGGCGGAGTAGGGAGGCGGCGACTAGGTGGGGGCGGTGAGAGGCATAGATCCAGGTCAGCGCAGAGGAGGGCCGCTGTCGCTATGGGCGGGCGGGCAGGCAGAGGTGCACCGCCAGGTGGAGGCAGCTAGAGCAGGTAGAGGCAGGCTGGTGTGCATGCAAACGAGGGAAGGGAGGAAGAAGTAAAAGGTGGGTGATATCTGGGGCCCACGTTGACGGCAACCAACGGATCCAAAACAGTCCATCCATCCATCCTCTCGCTCTCCATCCCTCCTACCAAACGCAGAACAAGGACGACCCCATCCCCTCAACCAAGCACAGATGGGATCATCCCAACCCAGAAAACAAGAATGGAACTGTTTCGTCCTGTCCCACCTTGTCCCCAGACCAAACACTACCTATCTTTTGACACATTCAAGACATAGATGCTTTGAGTTCTGAACTTCTGCTACAGTATGCTTAGGCAGGCCTAGGAACCCCCAAGCACACTTAAGCTCTAGGCAGAAGGTCACCGCTCACTTAGCGCCTAGCGCTTTTTGGAACCTTGCCCCAAAGAGGTTGTGTACTATTGGTCTTATTGCTGTGAACTTAGTTCGGTGTGGGTTGTGTGCATTTTGTGTGGTATAGTACATTTCAGTATTCCTTGACAAAATGACAGCTCTCCTGCGCCGTTCGAGAAAAAAAAATACCTTTTCTGATTGTAATTTTCCTGTCTGTCTCATTAGCCTTTTAATTTTCTTGCGTCGAGCACTTCGACTCTCCAACTGACAAGGCAAAAATACAAAGCAAAGAGAGATACAAATGTTAACTAAATTAAAATATTTTGGCATAACTGTTACATCATAAATTAAGAACTGAAATTTCTATATTGATTAACAAATCAAATGAAGGGGAAATAGAACAGAGTAAAGCCCAGTATCAAATCTTAATAGATGGGAAACGTATGGGCCTCAGCATGCAGGAATGAAAAAGATAGGACTATGAGAAAAAAAAAAACTTAGCCTTACCAATACAATAAACAAAACTACAAAAGATAACCAACAACTTAGCCTTATCAATACAATAAACAAAACTACAAAAGGTAACCTGAATCAAGTATATGTGAAAGGGTTCTGGAACAACAAAAGTAAATAGATAGGTAACATCTTCAGGGATACAAGGCATGGGCTAAGAGCACATTCAAGAACTATTGCAGCAGCACATGACTACTAACTTGGTTTTGCCTGGCATTGCGTTTTAGAGTAGCTTCATTAGAAACACATTTATGGCTCTCTTTTTGGAAATATTGGATTATTAGCAATAGCAGACTACCTCAAAGATACATGCAGGCAGTTCCACTACATTTTTTAAAACAATGTAACTGTGTTTCACTAAACTAATTGCAAAACAAGCTAAGGTGAGCTTGATGTTGCTCCAACATTTTTTTAAGGACCTCTGTTGTACTTCATTTTGCACTTCTGCTAAGTGAAAACCTCTTTTAATGAACTAGTCCCAGCAGACCAACAAACAGTTGGGTCTAAGTAAAAATGAAGGACCAAATATGTTAGTCGCTGAATTCTTACTCTTGGTAGTAGCAGAATTCTTACTCTCATCGAGAGAGGATGACACTAGGAGTTGAGGCAATTTTCTGGTTTATTTCTCACACAAATGCCATGCCAACCTGAGAGGTTGGGGATACATATTTATAGGCTGTTAGCCCGCCAAGCATATGCCAAGATGTTAGATGCTAAGATGTTGTCATAAAACAGATGATGTCCTAGATGTTGTCCTAGATGTTAGATGTTGTCATAGATGCCAGTCAAGGATGTTGTCCTTGATGGGTAGCAAGACCACCATGCAGCCATGCAGCCACAAGGACCATATGCTGCAGCCCCACAAAGACCAGCCAACACAGAGACTTATCCCATCATTCTCCCCCTAAGTCTTGTGCGTCGTCTTGCGGGAAAGTTGAACCATCCCGGTCCTGGAGCAGAGCTCAAGGAACTTGATCCTCCCAAGAGGCTTGGTAAGCAGGTCCGCAAGCTAGTCCTTGGTGTTGATGTAGCTCGCCTTGATGCTCCCGTCCTCCAAACAGCCTCGGATGAAGTGGTACCTCACCGAATGTGCTTACTCCGTTCATGGAAAACGAGGTTCTTTGCCAGGGCCAGAGCGGACTTACTGTCCATCCTGAGCTCCACCGCTCTAGTGTCTCTGTCGAGGAGATCACCAAGCAGTCGAGCGAGCCAGAGCGTCTGAGTCAAAGCGGAGGCAGGCTATGTACTCTCACCGCATGGGGGGAGCCACCACTGGCCGCTTGACCGATCGCCCGCTTAACGAGGCACTTGCCGAGGAGGAAGAGGATCCCGCCGTGCTTTTGCTAGTGTTGATGTCGCCGGCGTGATCATTGTCGTGCAGCCGGCGGTATGCCGCCCTGTGGCACCTAGGGTAGTAGAGGCCGTGGTCGAGAGTCCCCGCAACGTAGCGGATGATCCTCTTCTTTCACACCTTTGGTGCTCCATCGTCGGTCGCGTGCATGAACCGACTAACGAGCCGACGGAGAATGCCAAGTCCGCCGTGTGTGTGGACAAGGTAGCGAAGGCTCCCACAAGACGCCGCAGATCTGCAGAGCGCCCACCTCCTCCGCGTCAGGTCGTGTCGCTGGCTCGACTTCAACCTCTCCTCCATTGGAGTGAGAGTCGGGTTGCGATCGGTGAGCCCAGCTAGCTCAACGACGCGCTTGGCGAGGGCGGTCTGTCAAGCGTGATCCCGAGTCATCCTGGTGCATCTCGATTCCTAGGTAGAAGGAGAGAGGACCTGTGTCACTCATCCGAAGGTGGCCTTCATCTCTTCCTTGAATGCCGCCACCTCCGCATCCTTGGTGCCAGAATCACCAAGTCGTCGACGAGACACCATGAGCAGAGCATTCCTTGCCGCTTGCCGGTAGATGATCACTTGTGCGGGAGGTAAGGATGGAAGTCGTTCGATCGGTGGAGTCTCCGTGCACCCAAAACCAAACCTCGAATCGAAACCCGAAGCCATTTAAAACCGATTCGGTGGAAATCCATCACTAAACCAAACCCATGGACACCAAAACCAAACGGATACGAAACCAGCATGGATATATATACACATATTCACATGTATAAACAAGAGGCAACAAATAATAAATATTTTCATGAGTCAACTTTAAATAAATTTAATAATCTAAGTAAACAAATTATTATTAGTATATCATAAAACATGAGTTTTAATTCCAAATGATTTATTTGGATATCCATTGGATATCCACGAGTGAAAACCAAACCCCAAATCGAACTCCGATTGGTTTCGGGGCCCCAACCCAAAAACCGTGGGTGGAAAACCATCCCCAAACTCGAACCCGCAGAACCCTCAAACCCATGGATCCGCCCAAAAACCGATCGTTGTTATCCCATCCTTGCGTGCGGGCTTTGCTCAAGCCATCCCTTTAGCGTGGAATCAACTTGGCATTGGCATTCCACGCCTTGCTCGCCGCAGAAGCCATAGAGGGCCTTGCGCAAAGTGAGCACCTTGCCCCTCCTTGCCGGGATCGCAAATCCCGGCGGCTAGTGCACGAGACTCTCCTCCTTCAAGTCGCCGTTAAGGAACGCCGACTTGACGTCCATGTGATGAACACGCCAGACCCTCCCGGGCGGCTTAGCGAAGGAGGAGTCGCGACGGACTCCATCCGTACACGGAGCAAAGGCGTCGTCGAAGTCGACCTTCTCCGCCGCAGACGTAAACCTCGTGCCACCAAGCGAGCCTTGTGCTTGACGATGGCGCCGGCTTCATCCTCTTCACTTTGTACACCCACTTTAAGGGTGATCGCGCGGTGACCACGAGGAAGGTCAAGAAGCTCCCCAGTGCGGTTCTTCTCAACCGCATCCATCTCCAATTGCATCGCGGCGCGCCATGCCACGTGTCTCTCGCCTCTCGCAAACGATCGAGGCTCGCCGTCGCCACACGCAAGGTGCAATCGCGCCTCAGGTCGTGGAGGCACCGGTCCCGCAGACCGGCCGGCGGGCCGAGAAGGTTCTCCATCGTGACGGTATCCGCGAACGGCTCGCCGCCGTGGTATGCGCGCCGATCGCGCTCCTCGTCGAGAGAGCGAGTAGCAAGCTCAACCGGGCCGTGCTCGACACGAAGCCGGTGTCGGAGTAGACGCGTTCGGAGAGGTGCTCTGTCGGTGCCGGAGTGCGTGGCGGCGGTACCGTGGTGGAGCCGGCGAAGAACTCATCGCGCGTACCGAGGTCCCGGCCGAGAGAGCTTTGTGCCGCTTGAGTAGCAGCGCCGGGTCGGTGGAGGCTCGGGGATCGGGGTAGACGTGTTTCGTCGAAGAAGAGCCGCCTACTCCCCTAGCTCCCTCGGTGGACATACTCGGCAATGAAGTCGCCAGACGCGTCGAGCCAAGCCGCCGCCCACCGCTTGTCCCACGCCCATCTCGCCCTTCGTCGAACACAACGTCGCGCGCCGCGGCGCACACGCCGTGTCTTCGGCCTCCGCTCTGCCGCTGCCAGCTCCGGTATTGCCACCTCGGACGCTTGTTGCCGCCACAATGGTCTCCGCCGCCGCGCTTCGCTGCCTCTCTGCCATGCAAGTTCGACCTCGCCGACGACGCAGCGCTCGAGGCGATCGAAGGCCGAGATCGCCTTCGGCGGACATGACGCGCTACCTGGGGCTCTTGTGTGGGGAGAGGATCGCCAGACGAGCCGCTTGTCTCACGCAGAGGGGAGAGGAGGAGTAGGAGCAATGAGTCGGCCGCTTGCTCCCGGGCTGTCAGTATGGGTCGGGAAAGGAGATGAGCAGGAGATGCTCAAAGCTCTGAGGATAGCACGGCTCGATACTGGGCTTGTTAGTCGTTGAATTCTTACTCTTGGTAGTAGCAGAATTCTTACTCTCATCGAGAGAGGATGACACTAGGAGTTGAGGCAATTTTCTGGTTTATTTCTCACACAAATGCCATGCCAACATGAGGGGTTGGGAATACATATTTATAGGCTGCTAGCTAGCCAAGCATATGCCAAGATGCTAGATGCTAAGATGCTGTCCTAAAATAGATGCTGTCCTAGATGCTAGATGTTGTCCTAGATGCTGTCCTAGATGCCAGTCAAGGATGTTGTCCTTGATGGACAGCAAGACCACCACCATGCAGCCACAAGGACCATAAGCTACAGCCCCACAAAGACCAACCAACACAGAGACTTATCCCATCAAAATACAATGTTAGCTTTCATCCTGATTAAGAAAGGGCGTACTGGCATCAAACTTTTAATATAAATAAAGGCAGCAAATATAAGAGGATTGAAAGCCTGACAAAAAGGCCCAAAAACATGTTTTATTATTATTGTAATATAATATTGATTCCTAATTCCTATTATGCACACATTTGGGACACCATTTATACCAGCATATCAAGCGGACCAGCCTGACAAGCCCAGAAAAGTAGGACTCTGGCAGGAGCTGCCCATTGCCTGCATTTCCTTTTCCGTATAAAACAGCAGAATGAAAGGAAAATTATCCAACTACTCAATACAAGACAAAAAAACACATGAAAAGATAGCATTAAAAGGTAGACATGAAAGATATTTGAGATTTGACATGATGCCTATTTTGCAATGAGGTAAAATAGATTAGCCATCAGCATCATAATGGATTATACTTGCCATCTATGAATAAAAAATTGGTGAGCATAACACACAACCAGGAAATTGGATATAATCAAGCAGAGTCAAACACTTGGCATATCAAGAGCTGCATTATGACTCATGCATACCTTTTTTGTGTCACTTTGAGCATTATAGTCTACCACCATTGCCTCACATTTCAACTCAGTTTGATTGTTCCTAAAAAAAACATAATATGAATTGCATGCAGTGATATGATAGAACAAACAAGGACCGATACAGTATATAAGCCCTTATAGACCCCTGCTGTGGTCAATATATCCCTGCATCTCATTTTTGCTTACGGACCATGCCATGTACAAACACTCCCCAATTCCATAAAATGACAAAATAAACTTAACATGCGGTTTGCCACTCCTGTCGCATTCACTCACTCCTCACATGTCCTCGTGTTATGTTGAAGACTATCCTGTGTGGTCTTTTTTCATGAGCATGTCTGGTTCAAGACTGATCTTACCACCACTATACTTAAGGAGCACAGCGCAAAACACTTTTTGATATAACAATTGATGAAATCATCATGACAATGAGGCAAATTTGGGAAAGAAATTGGAACCTTTCACATTTTTAGAGCATAAAAAAGAGACTCTGGCACGTAGGATTGCAACAGATATAACAGTGGACCACTGCCTAAAAAAGTCAAATCTGTCTTAATTCGAGCTTGGCAAAGTTTGCCCATGAACCAAACAATGCAATATGACAAAAAGCAGACTCTTATAAACAGGGTTCTAAGTAGCTATCTATAGATCTTTACGGTCCTTGTTGTGAAGTGGCAAAAACAACAGGAACCCTAAATATCTACACTTCTACAGAATAGCTAGCTATGTTTACACTACATAGTATAGCTGCGCAATAGCCTTTCTGAAGCTATACTAGGAAGCCACGAGAACCACAATTTAAAGGAGTATACTGATTTACACCATTCTAACATACACAAAATTTACTTATTGTTATACCAAATTTTTGAACAATATTGTGATTTATTGAATTGTTCTTAAGATTAACATGGTTGATAACCAAAACAGAATCAAATACAATGCAAAATCGTGATAAAAGTATCACTGAGATCAACTATGTCATTTGTAAGATAAAAATATATTATGTTGGTGTGGCTTTCCATTAAAATCTTGTTCATATTAAGACTGTTACAATTAAGGATCTTGTAGACATAACCAACAAAGTGGATTGCCACATGTTGCTGGCGCTCGAAACTTCCTGGTTATGACTTGTGATCATTTGTTTTCCAAACAGACAACTAATTTGCATTTCAAAAACAGAAATAACAAGTTTTGAATCAGAAATTAGGCATTAAAGGAGAGGCACTGGAAGTAGGAAGCAACCAACCCAACATGCTATTAACCTAAACTCTAGAATAAGTGATAACTAGGGTTAAACTCGCTAGGAACGAACTGCTACATGTTTTTAAAACAACACATAACATGAAGATAAACAACACAGGAATACAATTCAAACTGGTTATGGTCAATGGGAACAAAACTAAAACTATTTCTCAAACCAGAGTGCCTTATAAAACTTAAAAGCAGTAACTGGCATATGCCTTGAGATAATACCCCTCTGATTTTTGCTGCTCCACCAAGGTAGTGGTAGTTTCATGTTGTGGAGTTGCTTTCTTAGCTTCAATATCAATAACTGACAAGTTCAACTTTTTAGATTCACTCTGTTCCTCCTTGCTGTAATCTATCTGCTTTCCAGAATTTGTCACCTTCAGCCTTTTTCCCCTGCATCTAAACACCGATGAAAAAGGATAGACATATCACTTAACAGAATATAGATGCAGACATCAATAATTGTTTCATGATTCTAACAGAACTTTCATAAGAGCGCAAGTCAGACTATTTGGGTGAGTAAAGCTGGTTTTGGGGATTCAAGAACTCATATAACCCAGTAAACCAGAAAAATGGAGAAGACGTCCGACCAAAGTGATATTCCATAGTTGGAAAAGAAAAATGCTAATACTACAACAAACATATAGAAGCATACTTTGAGCTCTCAGGTATTTCTGCAATCCCATCACTCCACTTCCTCTTCGAATTTGTCTCATTGTTTTCTATGCTATGGCTAGCAGTGGCATTTTCTTCAAGCTGGTGATCATGTGCCTCTTCTTCTTGGTGTTTACAGCCATCCTTTTGATCCTGGATTGCAAGGATTCTGTCATCAACTGGAAGTGGCCTCTTCTCTATTATCTCATGATCTTGAATACAGTGCACATCATTGTGCCCTACCTGCTTCGTGCAGGATTTTTGTTTAACCCTAGCAATACAAAAGAAAATTGGGGATTGTTGTCATCATTTCTGTGAGAAGTAGCCCACTGTTCTGTACTAAAGAGATGCATGATGCAAGGAAATATATAATCAAATATAAGGGATGATTTTTCTGGTAGCTAAAAAATAACTGAGCCTTTCAGTGTAACCTTTTTTATGAACCAAGAAGGTGTTACTAATTCAAATACACCATCACTCATTCGATACTGCAGCTCTATGTTACCACTCGACATTATCTGCTCTTCCGTAATACACAATGACCCACCTTTGACTTCAAAGGAAATAGCGACACCATATCATCCATATTGCACAGTAAGTAACGACAGAATGAAAGATAATAGACAGGAATAAATCAATCAAACATCCTAAGCTCCTACTCATGCTACCCCTCTACCCGATAAGCCCTTTCTTCTTCGCCATTGACTTTAACACACGATCGCCGTCAACACACCTCTGCACATCGCTCACTACGATGATTCGACAACCCTACTACCATTCCCGTGCGATAGGTGGGCTTCATGTAAGCCCCTGTTTGGATCCATAGAGCTAATAGTTAGCTGCTAATAATTAGCTCCTTTGGATCCAAACAGGTCCAGCTAATAGTCTAGTTAATTGTTAGCTGAATACCCAACTAACAACTATCTCACTAGTTGGGCCAAACAGAGTTAACTATTAGCAGCTCATGGATCCAAACAGAGATGAAGGTGATAACATAGATTTTAAGCATACGATCCGATGTACAATATTGCTTGCCATATGGATGTCCCTGATTTTCCAAACAACTATTATTCTGGGACATAATAGATTCACTAGTGTTTATATCTGCTTAGTTGTTTACTTACCAAGATGGGAATGGTACAGAATCGTGGTAATGAAACCTAGCACCCTGGAGGGCTCAGGCAGATAGATTCCCAGGCATCGATCTGCACCCCAGGCGACCGGAATCAGACGCCTGGGGATGCAGGTGAGCCAATCTTGCCTGAGCTTGAAGCAAACATGCCCAGTGCATTTCACATAGTTCTCTGGGTAGACACAATCCCACATCCCCAACCTTTCCTCTAAGCCAAGTGCCGAAATATCAAGATGATATAGTGGGAAAAGGGAATGACAAAAGATATCGAAAGAACGAATTAGCTCACCAAAGGCAACAGTTACCTTATAATATCGTTGTCCCTGAAGATGCAGGTTGACTCAAATGGTGGCAAGGTAAACCCATCCATCTGCGCACAAGAGACTATTTCATTCATGATTTATGCACAATGCTAGTCTTTGTACAGAATATAGATATAACAAAGAAATGCAAGGGAAAAATCAGGAAGAAATGAAGCATCAATGGTCCACACGGAAAACCCTCAAACATTGTTGTACGAAGCCATTGATTTTGGGGAAAAACCGCAAGAATGGAGCAATCAAGGTTTCGGGGTAGGGTACCCCTGCATAAATGGGGAGGGGGGGAAGAGAAAGGGGACCAATAAAGGAAGAGAGATGACCAGGCGACGTACCGAGAGCACAACGCCCCGCGGGCAGGTGCGGCGGAGGCGGAAACGGGCTGCGACATGAGCGGCGAGGTCGGCGACGGTGGCGAGCTCCGGGCTAAGGAGAAGCCAGCAGCGCCGAAGGCCTTCATCCCTCTGCACACGCCGGAGGAGGCGGCTGTTTTCGAAGAGCAGACGGAGCCTCACCGGGGCGGGCGCCGCAGGCGGCGGCCTCGCCATTGGTGGGTGCCGGCGGTCGGGGGGAGGAAGGGTTTTGGGTTTCTTTCCCAACCTTTTTTCCTCGTTTCAGTTTCAGGGGTTTGGATTTTGGTGGAGCCGGAGCCAGCCCCTCGTACATTCCGGTCTGTTTGCGTGCACCGATTGATCGAAGGTCGATTTTAACGTAGTTTCGTACCATCTCTACTATAATTAAAAACTTAGAGACTCATCACGGAGGCTTCAGCGCTCCCGTCCGTATAAAAGGAAATAAATGCCACCTGTATCGACAAAAAAAAAACAAAAATTCCCTTCCGCGCGAGCACGCTCGACGCCCGCCCGTCCGTCATCGACGAAAATAAAGAAAGCCCGACGCCCGCCCGTCTGTCACGGCAACCAGCAACGGCGATTCCGCGACGTGCCCGTGCTAGCAGTCCACGACGGAGGACGACCGGGATCCTGTTCACGGCAACCAGCAACGGCGATTCCGCGACGTACGATCAGCGGCGGCGACACGTCCCTCCATCGTGATCTACATCGAGTGCCGTCCGCGACGTCGACTCCGAAAGCTCCACGGAGATCATGAGCGTGGCCAGTGCCCCCACCTCCACGGACAAAGCCTGAGACCTGACGCACTCGAAGGTTTGCCTTGCCTTCCTTTTTTTTCCGTCCACGACGGAGGACGACCGGGATCCTGATCACGGCAACCAGCAACGGCGATTCCGCGCGACGACGACGATCGGGCGGGCGGCGACACGTCCCTCCATCGTGATCTACATCGAAAGTGCCGTCCGCGACGTCGACTCCGAAAGCTCCACGGAGATCATGCGCGTGGCCAGTGCCCCCACCTCCACGGATAAAGCCTGAGACCTCACGCACTTGAAGGTTTGCCTTGCCTTCCTTTTTTCCGTCCACGATGGAGGACGACCGGGATCCTGATCATGGCAAGCCAGCAACGGCGATTCCGCGACGTACGATCAGCGGCGGCGACATGTCCCTCCATCGTGATCTACATCGAGTGCCGTCGCGACATCGACTCCAAAAGCTCCATGGAGATCATGCGCGTGGCCAGTGCCCCCACCTCCACGGACAAAGCCTGAGACCTGACACACTTGAAGGTTTGCCTTGCCTTCCTTTTATCCTTTTATTTCCGTGAAGGCTAGGGTTTATTTGAATTCCTGCATGCCTGGGCTTAGGTTTGCCTTACCTTTCTTCAAATCTAGATCCAGTGACAATGAATTGATTAATGCTTTGCGTAAACTTTGGCACTACATAGTTTCAAAGCTTAAAACTTGATGCACCTGTGAAGCCAAGCCATTGTGAAAACATGATTCTGTTTCATGGGTGTACACTGGGAAGCTAAAGCTATAGCTCCAATATGTTTATCTGCACTATCATTTCATCTCATGACTATTGTGTTTGTTTGGTGTGACTGAGCCTCCCAAATCTAATGAATCATAACATCGAATGATTGCTATACCTATATGTGACATTTTATCCTTAACATTGTAGCTTCTGGTTGACAACACCTAATCCTGCTTGTCTCCACTGCTTGTCTCCAGGTTCTGGATGCTCGGTGGTGATTGGTTTCGCTGCTAAAACGATCTGGAGATCACCTGTACTACACGCCTGGGTACACCATCGTAGCTACCACGCATAAGAGTTCAAGGTAATTCTGTGTCCATGTTAATGTTAATTTAAGCGGAGATAATAATAATTGTGTACATAGGGAAGAGGCGATGCCTACGCCGGGAGATCCCCCGAGAGATCCACGCGACGGTCAGAGCAAAATGTCTACGCCGAGAGATACGCGCGGAGCGCAAAGCCAAATGATTACGCCGACATATACACGCGAACCACTAAGTGATATCACCAACGTCAGCCAAATGATTACGCCGACATATACACGCGAACCACTAGGTGATATCACCAATGTCATAGGTATGCTTAAAATATTTTCCTATGCAAACCTTTTCATATTTTTCACTATTTACTGGAAGGACGTTTTCATATTTTTAGATGAGGAATCGTGGAGGAGGGAGCAAAGGAATATGCAGCAATGGAAACGTCGAGCTGATATGTCCATGGAACAAAGGGACGAGATCAATCGGAAACAGCGTGAGTACCGAGAACGGAAGAAAGATGCAACCCTGAATAGTAGCACTTCCGCTGCTTTGCGTGAGACGGTGCCGTTAACTTCAGCATCGTCCATAGGTATTTAATCTCTTTCTATTTTTGGACACTTATTATTACACCATAACCCGTTTTGATTAAGTAGAGGTCAACCATTTTGTGCCACCCAATCATAGGACTTGACGAAACTGCCAACCCACATAATGAAAACACGCCAAATATATTTTCCAACGGAGATATGGAAACAAATAGTAGAGATGTTGGCGTAGGCATGGCGAACACAAGAGTCAGTACGCTGTCTATGGACATAAGCGACAATGACCTAGGTATAAGTGATGGTTATTTTGTAAAGGAAACACACTTTTTATGTCTACACACCCCATCTCTATATATTGACTTTAACATGTGCCTTTGTCTCTAGAGATGAGACCTACAAACAGTGTCGATGCTAGGAGGGAAGAAGGAATGCACGTGCACGCAAACGAAGAGCTGAAATGACCGATCAACAAAGGGAGGAAGCTAATAGGAAACAACGTGAATACCGAAAGCACGGAGGAAAGCTGCAATGCAAAATAATAGCCCCACCTGTTGTGTCCCAAACATTGCAAGGCGTCTTCAACAAATGGTGAGATATAATAACTGCTCAAATTGTGCATTTTCTCAACCTAATCGATACATCATTAATTGTTATCCCTGCTATGTCAAGGTGCAGCTTTTGGAACCGGCTTACCAACTATATTGGAAGATGACGAATTAGCAGATCCCACAGAGTGGCTACACCGAAATGATAATTACGTTCCACGAGCTAGACGCACATGTACGGTCCCTCCCGCCCATTGCCTACTTCCGGTGAGTCAAGCGAGCACAACAACGTCATGCTTTTTTTCAATAAAATATAATTTAAATATATGTTAGCATACTTATTTTTAAAATATTTGCGTAACTTCATTTACCGAACTACACAATGAAGAAGAATTTGACCGTGAACTATTTGAACCAACGCATGATGGTTGGGACGGTGATGAAGATGCCATAGACGCCGGCCATGGATTGCAGAATGAAAACTTATACGATGATGGAGTCATTCACCAACATGCGCAAGGTACTGTGACAACAATATATATGCCTGGTTACAAGTCTAGCTTCACTTTGGCGTGTTTATATATTAAATGAAAATAATTACTGCAATGTCTACACAGGTCATGATTATGAGTCATATCGCGTGCTTCCAGAGGGTCCAACTACAAACAAGGTGACACATGATGATCCATATGATTACATCTACCGTAACCTCGCCGTAAACGACATAAATTGAGAAAGGTCCCGATCTGCAGCTTATTGTGGTGCGATGAGGTTTCAGAGTGAGACACCTGGTTTTGTTGTAGAAAAGGAAAAGTATGAGATACATATACCAAATGTTCCCTGCAGAGCTCAAAAGGTTGTTCACAAGTCAAGTGCACGATGATGCAAAATATTTCACAAAACATATACGTTATATCAACTCACATTTCTCCTTTGCAAGTCTAGGGGTTACCACCGATGACATATATAAAAGTCCAAGAGGGACGGTGTTTATACATTTTGAGTTCATGGTGGGCTGTACCATCGCCTTGACCACTGGTGCTGTGGTGGCATGGTGCTCGGCATTTGGCAAACTCTACTTTTATGATACGAGAAGATGAGGCCTTATCACATAGAGTCAAAAGGTCCCCGATCTTGATATCAACATCATTCGGACTATCCTAGCAATCTTGCAAGATAACCCATATGTTCGGACTTTTAGGAGAAATGGGGATTTTCCAAACTTGGATGAGTACCGGATTGAACTCAATACAAATATCACGCTGACCAAAGAAGGTACAATGCCCCAACTCGCATCCCAAGTTACTACTATTTGGATGGATGGGAACGATCCACAAATATGTTTTGATAGAAGTGTGGTTGTATATGGAAAGACCGATCGTCGTCCGCAGATATATCCGGGCATGGCATGGTTGTTATGACGCCTTAGCTTATCCTCAGTATATAACCCACGAGGGGAGACAGGATGGAACAAATATATGCCGACAGGTGGGAGTCCATTCACTCCACCATCTGCAACCATGGCTTCTACTAATAATCAATGGCCAGAGAGTAGAGATGAAGGGACGTCTCGATGGTAATCATGGTATTATCTCTTAGTAATAATATTTTTTCCTATAATACTTACTGCTATACTAATGATTTGATGCTATAGTACCATATTATAAAATGTTCTAATATTTTATCTATTTCCCCACTGATAATAATAATGAGAATCCAGTGGAAGATGGCGACAATGAAGTACAACAAGGTGACGTCCTAGGTGGAGTTGTTGATTGAGCACAATCTGCAAAATATGTAATCGCATGCGAGAATACTACTCGCTTCAAGTTGCAAGTCGAAGGGAATTTTTAATATTTTATTATTCGGAGGACGCCTTTTCCAACAAAGTAATGTGGATATGTATATAAAGATTGAGTCTATGAGGCTAGATTGGTACTCTAATCCTCGATAACCAAAAACTAATACGGCGAGAGCTATACCGGTGTAAACACTCATAATCTATTGTTTGTAATTGTTTTTTATGATCTTTGCATGCTTGTTACTACATAAAGCTAAAATTAAGTGCTTAAATGTATTATAGGGACTTGTTGATGTTATATCTGTGGGAGAGACGCACGGTTCTAAGGTTGGCAAGAGAATTGTGCTGCCAAGATCATTCCATGGATGCGATCGAGACATGCAGCAAAGATTCCTTAATGCAATGGCTATTGTGCAACATTTTGGCAAGCCTGGTTACTTCATCACCATGACATGCAATCCGTACTGGGAAGAGATAACAAGCAATCTCGAACCGGGGCAGGATCCAC